AACAAACCTTCTTATGCCCTTTTCTCGCCACCCATATGACACCAACACAAACCTTTAGCATCACCGGGTAGGGGACACTTTCCTTTGCGTGGGCGACCCTCGGTTGGTGAGAAAAGGGCCTACAAAGGTTTGTTTACAAAAAGCTTGTATGCCCTTTTCACATGTTGTTCTGGAATTGATATTTTTCCGCTCTCATGTGCTCGCAATATCATGCGTGATATTGGAACAAAATATCATGCTTGATATTGATTTTACAAGCTCCTTTGATATTGCGAGACTATTAACAACGTGAAAAAATCAAGCTGAGAGTTGACTCGACACAAAAATGATTCCATTGCACATCGTTTTCTTAGAAAGAGAAAGCATAGTTTGCTATCTCGTTTTAATCTTCAACGATGGCAGGCGCGAAGGGTCTGCTGCAAGCTGTTATGGATGTTTCTTTTGCATTCGAGTGTAAAGCAAAAATCATTAAACTCAATCTCACCACAGTTTGGTGAGATTTGAAGTTGGTGAGTTTTGTTAGCTTGATATTCCGAGCTGCGATATCACAGATTGCAAAATCAACCGCAGTTGTTTGCTTGTTGATTTTTGTCTACGAAAATCAAGCGTGATCTTGGGCGTTGGTGAGATTTGATTTTTTGATATTTTCCCAACACTGCTTCCGACAGTTTCATCTTAGTATTCTTCTTTCGTTAGGGCCCTGCTTAGAGCAATTAATTCGTGTCTCACTAGTACCAACAATCAATACGAAACTAACGATTTTAAATTGGCTCAGCACTTTAGTAGCCTATTGGTCCCAAGCAAACGATTAACTTACCCTATTCTAGTTGAAATTCTATTACTACACTATGTTTGTTTTGATTCGCTATGAAAGTTTGACAGATAACATCAGGGGTGTGTGGATTCATGCAGAACATGCAGGGGCGAGTGAAATAGCTTGGGACTGCTTGGGACCGTTGTTCTGGTACTGAGTGAGCCAAAAATAATAATGATTTTCTTCGGGACCCAGTGGTCTTAGAGTTACCTCTATGCTAGTACTAGCACCATAGAGGTAACTCTAAGACCAGAAGGTCTCAAAGAAACGTGCTCAGCTCTGGTACTCTCTTCGGTCCCAAGCTAATCGATTCACCCCTCGAAACATAGGAAAATCCACTAACCCCTAATTTTAGCTGTCAAACTTTCATAGCGAATCAAAACAAACATTGTGTAGTACTAGAATTTCGACTAGACTGGGGTACGTTAATCGTTTGCTTGGGACCAATAGGCTAGTCAAGTAGTGAGCTAATTTAAAATCGTTAGTTTCGTATTGATTGAGGTAATAATAAAGGGTGATACGGTCAAAATTTGGTCAAGGGAAAACGCGTGTAAATCGGTGAAATCGTTTATTTAAAAAATCAAATTAAATTTCTTTTTCAAGTTCAATTAGTATAAAATTCAGGAAAAATATTCAGTTAGGCTTCCGCTTTTCCAAATCCGAATTGCCGGGCCTTACGCTTGACCCCTGCCATCAGATTTTGTACAGCCACCTTGTCCACCTTCTTCGCCGCAGAAAGCCAGTTTGCCTTGAACTGCTGCTCGCCCTTAGCAGTTTTTTTGGTCTTCTTTAGGTTCCGCTTGACAATAGCCCAGTATTTCTCAATTGGGCGGAGCTCTGGCGTGTTGGGAGGGTTCTTGTCCTTCACGCAGAAAAAACGCTCTGTAATGAATCAACAAAATATTTTGTTGTTTTTTAATACAATGCCTTGGTTTGTTTCTGTTTATAAAAAAGTTTTAAATTAATAGAGCGCTCCATTCACTTTAAATATATTAATTTGATTGAATTGCATCATTAATGTGATTGATTTAAATAAACGATATTTGGTTTGTAACAATTATATTTTTTTTTCAATCGAAATTGTTACTTTGATTGTTTCAACTGAATATTTTTTAAGTGCACGTTTCAAACTGTCAGTCTGTATCGGCATCGTTTGGCAAACGAAAAGAAGTTCCTCCTGCCTTTGCCTCCATTATTATTGCTCTTAAAATGTAAGCCATAATTTTATTAAATTGTGTAGATTCTTTCAAATTATTATTCATGTAATTACAATTTCAGCGGTGATGTGAAAAAAAACGCAGTAAAAACGCAATACCATAAAATTGTATTTGGTTCGTTAACGTTTTCATATTTGAATGATACGATTGAATTTGATTCCGACTCGAAGAATGCTTTTTATTTTTCTAAAAACTTGAATTGTCATAGAATAAATAGGGGAAAATAAAATTTATTGATTTAAATAAATTTGATTTTGATACAATAAAAAAATATGAATCGCTACAACTAAAATTATTCGTTGCTCTAAAAAATGCTGCAGGTTGATGCAAGTAAACATTTTTTTGAATCAATAAAAATCGATGTTTAATTCAATAAAGCTGGTGGCATTATTTCAATTCAATATTTTTATTAGATTACTCTATGGATTTTATTGATCTATATTCTATTCAAAATTTTGTTTGAAATGAATCGTGCTTTATTTGAATGAACTATGTTTTTTTCTGCGTGTTGGGAACCACCTGCACGTTGTTGGCGGCGTACCACTCCATGGCCTTTTTACCGTAATGGCAAGATGCCAAATCCGGCCAAAACAGTACGGAACAACCGTGTTTCTTCAGGAAAGGCAGCAGACGTTTATTCAAACACTCTTTCACGTAAATTTCTTGGTTGACAGTCCCGGAAGCTATGAAAATGCTGCTTTTCAAGCCACAGGTACAGATGGCTTGCCAAACCAGATATTTCTTTGCGAACTTTGACAGTTTCATGTGCTTGAAAACATCTGCTACCTTTCCCCTTCCTTTTGCCGTATAAAACTCCTGTCCCGGAAGCTGCTTGTAGTCGGCTTTGACGTAGGTTTCGTCGTCCATTACCACGCAGTCAAACTTCGTCAGCATCGTCGTGTACAGCCTCCGGGATCGCGCTTTGGCCGTCGTATTTTGTTTATCATCGCGATTTGGAGTCCCTACCTTCTTATTTGCGGCATCTCGGAGAGAGAGGTTAGGGTTTCGCTTGAAACTACCGGCAACTCTCTTTGACGTCTCAGCGGCTTCCGGTTTTCGATTTCCCCCCGATCCAGACTTCCTGGCTGTCGACAAACGTTCCCCAAACACTTTAATTACATTTGTAACGGTTGATTTGGCAACTTTTAGCGATTTTGCCAACTTTGTGTGCGAGTAGCTCGGATTTTCGCGATGCGCGAGCAAAATTTTGATACGCTGCTCTTCTTGCTTGGACGGCATTTTGACAACTGAAGAGTGAATTCCAAAATCAAAATAGGAGCAACATTCTACACACACACACCTTCAAAATGAGGGGTGTTCAGGTTTTTTAAATGCAAAACTGAAAGAAATACGTCAAGTTGATATTGACCAAATTTTGACCGTATCACCCTTTAAGCACCATTCAGTGAGACCAATGATGGAATTAGATTTTGAAATCTGTGTTAGGAAAAGCGCTGTTTGCAGGCAATCAGTTTTAATTTTGATCACCATTGCAACAGTTGGACATTTGTGTAATTTTCAATAGTGACCTATTGAAAATTAATAAAGTTTTCCATTTAGCAGATCCGTAGCAAAATTTCTAATCGATTGGCTTGTTTAGAATTACAGCCCATCCGCTATTGACAGAGTTATATCTAGATAAACATATCAAAAGGTCCTTTCATCAATAACTCAGCTGCAAAACCTTTCCCTGTTGTACCTATTTGACGTTTTGGACGCTAGATAAGATCCTTCTTTATCAAACTATGTGATGGAATCAGCGCATAATCTGTTATAAATCTGGTTATAAAAAGAGAAAGTCGATGAAGAGAATCGATCAAAGCAGATAGGACCATTTGAAATGTTCATCGAGATATGTGTCCAAACCTGACCACTTTTCGTAATGTGTTCAATTTTTTTTTTAAATTGCACTCCCAATATGTTGCCGAAAGACGTAATCCTACGTCAAAAAAATGGGAGGAGGTCACGATTGTCGAAACAGGGCTGTGATATAACAATATTGTTCTTTATTATGTATAAGCAACCATTCTTATCTAAGCTGACGGAACACATAATTATTTGGACATTGTACATAATAGTCACAACTTCAATGTAGACAATCACAACATTTAATAGGAAACAGTGACAAATCCGCCACCAACACATTTTAAGCTGATGTTCTCCGCATCCATCAAACCTCGACACTCCGCCTAAACCGATGATAACAGTAGCCGACGAGAAGGGACCTACATGGAAAATAATATTGATAACGAACTGTCTTGTCGCTGAAGCTTTGATGTAATCTCTTATTCGGTACATTTTAATTTGTTTGAGGCACACCACGGGCAATAGAGATAAACACACAATCACATATAATGTAGTTTAGGTACCATATAAGTTTATATTTAGTTCGATTTTTGTTTTTGTAACGTACTTCAGTTTGGTTTTCAAATCAATTCTGCTTGCTTATACAATAGACTAACATCTAAGGACTTCAAGTAAACAAGAAATTCATATACATGCAAGGGGGAACTAATGCATCCCCTACTATAATCGTTGTTGTGCGAGCGCGAATGTTATTCTCCTTCCAAGATTCTTTGACCTAGGTAAGTGAGTGAAGAATTTTTCAAAGATGCTTATTTCGAAAATGTTTCGTTATTTAGTGGACATGTGTGTATATGTAAATTCAGAAAAAAATATACACAGTAAAAATTATACAGTGGAGTTGCATGCTTTGTTTGCTTGATTCCACGTGTGAGCATGGAGACTGTTGCTGATTCTGCATATTGATGGGATGATTTTTGTTTTTCCGCATGAAAGTTTCGATGGTGTAAAGCTGCCTTTCCAATTAAGTTTCCCGTTCAGTATAAAAAAAATGACATTAAGCATTTTACAACTAATACGCCCCCGTGTGTCAAGCGTCAACATCAAGCTTAAGCGTATCTGTGGAGAAAATAGTAAACAGTTGATATACGATTAGATCATTTCGATTGTTGTTCTGACCCATTGGTGATGTTTTATTAGTTGTTGCTTATCAGTGTATGTATGTAAATAAGAATCATTAGTGCGTAGGACTACTCTAGATTGATGGAACTGGTTAGTCTGTGTTAACGCGCGTAGAATTAATAGCCAGACCTTCTCGCTTGGTTGCGAATTCCGTTGGCCAGGCAGCAGGCAGCGATCAGACCGATCAGTTCAACGGCGGCCACACCTAGCGAAACCCATCCGAGGACGTCTCCAGCATTATCGATGAACTCTCCGAGGCGAGCTTGGCAACCGGAGGTGAAGGGAATGCACAGTGGAGCGGTTCCAGCTTTGCAGCACGACTGTGGCATGTTGCCCAACCAGTCCAGAGCCGAACTCTTACCGCAACATTCAAGCTAAAATTCGTTGGAAAATCGGCGGTTAAGGAATCTGGTTGATCGGAATAAGTGCGTCGTGGAAACACTCACGTTCGCCTGGATGGTATTGATTAGTTCAGCATTGGGCGGACGGTCACGTTCATCGAACACTCTAGCGAATCCCTTCTTGAAGGCTTCACGGGCATCTCCCACGTAGACAAAGACCAGGACAGCAATCACAATTTGGGCAATGATCAAAATCATCAAGAAGAAGCCATACTGCAAATTAAGTTAATTGATAATAATGAGTTAAGATATAAACATGGACATTCCACATAGAAAACGTCAAAACGATCGGCAGCTTACGGTCGTGGTCATGCAGTACGATTCCCGAATAGCGCCGCAGCATCCGAAGAAGGCAATCACGAATACGATCGATCCGAGCACGATGAACAGGATCGATGGTGCCACGATGTTGTGTTCAGTGCTGATGTCCTGCAGTTCAGAGATTTTGGCCAGCGAGACACCGCCAATCACCACCAGTGCGATACCGCATAGCTGGAAAAGGAAAAAAAATCATACAGGTTAATCACAGTTGGAAAACATTATAAAGTTCTAGTTCGATCACTCATATTCATTCGCGCGCGAGGAAGTCGGGCGAAACTGGTTTTGAACAACAATAAATAAGTGGCAGGAACCAGATGACAAATAGCAGCAGCATGACATCATGTTCTCGGCTTTTCTGCGCAACGGTCAATAATTATACCGGGAAGCGTTCTGCGCTGGAATATAGGCATAGATCATGCACGCCGTACGAGATTCAGTGTGCAAATTCAAACCGTCAATATGATCGCAGACAGGCACAAACAGGGGAGGTAACGTTGTTTGGTTCAATTGGTACAATTTTTATCTACCTACGTTCCATTTGGTCGTTTGCAATAAGATGACGGTGAGAGTTAATACGATAAGTTGAAGGATTTTTTTTAGTGTGGATCAATTTAGAATTTTCCTTTCTAACGCATGTTTAACCACATAAGTTGAAAAAATACATTCCTTAGGAATTCCTTGATTATTTGCTTCAGCAAGACTTTATTGAACAAGACTGATATTTACTGTCGCTCATTTCAAGTTCGTTCCATAGTATTTAGCAACAAGATCGACGAAATGTCATACCATGTCTTTACCGTTTTGTGCGGGATGGTGTTTAATATTTCAGATTTATAAAACGGAGTCTTTACTACAGTAGTTCAGGGTAGTCAAGAAAACTTCGTAGAAGTCCAGGACAATTCGAAAAAGTTAATAGAACATCACCTGATTTCAGAGAACTTCGTAAAAAGTTCGAGGAGCGTTGTAGAATTTCAAAGAACAGCTCGTCAGAAAACTTCGTAGATGTTTTGGAAACTTTCTAGAAGTGCAGCAGATTTTATAGGAGTTTAGCAAACTTTGTATGAGCTCGGCGAAGAGTGCCCTGGAAGAATGTAAAATCAAAAAGAAGTTGAAACTCACCAAAAAGTTCCTTGATCAATCTGCAGTTGTGGGCTGAAAAGCGAAACTTTCATTACTTCTGGGACCATTAACCAGCAAGTTTACCAGGAGGAGAGACTACTGCCAACAATCAATACGAAACTATCGATTTGAAATTGGCTCACTACTTGACTAGCCTATTGGTCCCAAGAATACGATTAACGTATCCCATTCTTGTCATAGTACTACACTATGTCTGTTTTGATTCGCTATGAAAGTTTGACAGATAAAATGAGAGGTTAGTGGATTATCCTATGTTTCGAAGGGTGAATCGATTAGCTTGGGACCGAAGATAGTACCAGAGCTGAGCCAAAAAGTTGAGCACGTTTCTTCGGGACCTACTAGTCTTAGAGTTTCCTCTATGCTACTGCTTTTTCTGGAGCAACACTACTCAAATTCCACCAAACAGCGAGAATTGCGTGACAGTGGTGGGAACCCAACGTACGATTAGAATCATATTTGCCTAGAGAGAGAGAAGGATTAGTAATTTACATTTAATTCCCCTACCTTATTTCCTTATCCTTGACAAATACGCGTATTTATTTCGTCTACAATCCCTAATAAACAAATACCATAAACAAACTGTATCCCGGATGGGTAAACTATCCCACAAATGGTTTGGATGATACCCCGAACACGTCGTTAAGCTCTCTTTTATGGTTATTTTTATTAGGGATGTGCAGACTTTTTCAGTGTCTTGTACTAACACTCGACTGTATTCTTTGAGTATTAGTACAAGACACTGAAGACAGTCGAGTATTAGTACAAGACACTGAAGACAGTCGAGTATTAGTACAAGACACTGAAGAAGTCTGTACATTGTAGAGACGCGTCACGGATAGCAAATATTGTAGTGGAATTAAATGGAAATTACTAATCCATCTCTCTCTCTTTTTATACAGATATTTCACTAAGACGCCCACATTCACAGGAAATTTGCCTACTTTTGGGAACAACTAACTTTTGGGTAGTGAGTGGAAAATTCTATACGAATTTTACACAAGTAAATGAAAACTACTTTGACCCGCTTAAACATACTTTTGGTTTCCTACACTATAGTGCCGAAATGAGTTAAAATAAGTTACTTTTGCTGGCTGAAAATCTCCTTAGGCTCTGAACCAATTGGTGCATTATTTTAACTTTTGCTTAAAATTTGACAGATGGAAAGTTATCGATTAACCCTGCTATCCGAGCGTGGTTATTTCTGACAGACAAGAAGTTAAATGTTGACAACCGTGGCTGAGTTCTTCTCGAAAATCGGTCAATCGATAGCACAGGGATTTTCGAACATCAAGATTAACTTTCGAAACGTCACTTTAAACCACGAGTTATATTTAACTCAGCAAATGGTTCACAGTCTTAATAAAGACAACCAACCAAGTTTTTGGGTGCTTTCTTCTTACCGTGCAGGTGACAAGCATATTTAGGCTGTGAACCATTTGCCGAGTTAAATTTAACTTAAACACAAGTGACATTTCGAAAGTTATTTTCTATGTTCGAAAATTTTCGTGCTGTCGATCGACCGGTTATCGAGCCAAGGTTGTCAAAATTTAACTTTTTGTTTGTCAGAAATAACCACGCTCGGATAGCAGGGTTAATCGATAACTTTCCATCTGTCAAAATTTAACCAAAAGTTAAAAAATCCACCAAATGGTTCAGAGTCTTAGCAACCGGTGGAAACTAACGATTTTAAATTGGCTCACTACTTGACTAGCCTATTGGTCCCAAGAACAGCTAAAGCGTACCCCATTCTAGTTGAAAGTCTAGTACTACACCCTGTTTGTTTTGATTCGCTATAAAAGTTTGACAGATAAAATGAGAGGTTCGTGGATTTTTCCGAGAAGGGGAAACTCTATCTACGATGCAGGGAAAATCGTGTTTTGCTGTGGTTAGCTGCGAGCACGCTGAGAAGATAGAAAGAAGATTGATGGCGATTCTGAAGATTTCCTGCAAAAAGATGATATGCGATGCAAGTAGATGCGAGAAATGACAGAAGATTTTTCGAAGATTGATTCGCTAGTGTGAGATTTGCTGAGCATCTAGAATTGAGACTTAGATGTGTCGCCCCTCGGATTTTTCTATGTTTTGAGGGGTGCATCGATTAACTTGGGACCGAAGATAGTACCAGAGCTGAGCCAAACAGTTGAGCACGTTTCTTCGAGACCTTCTGGTCTTAGAGTTACCTGTATGGTCTTAGAGTTACCTGTATGGTCTTAGGCTGTGTTCCATTTGGTAAATTTTCACTTAAATTTAACAATTCAAAAATAAATTTAGTTGTTCGAAAATCCCTCTGTTGATGATCGAACGATTTTTGACAAGGTGTCTGTCAAATTTGATTCCTTGTCTGTCAGAAATAAGTCTGCTGCAATAGTAGGTTTATTTCGAGGTTGAAAATTTTCCATCTGACAAATTTAAGTGAAAATTCACCAAATGGAACACAACAATCAATACGAAACTTTCGATTTGAAATTGGCTCACTACTTGACTAGCCTATTGGTCCCAAGCAAACGATTAACGCATCCCATTCTAGTTGGCATTCTAGTACTATACTATGTTTGTTTTGATTCTCTATGAAAGTTTGACAGATAAAATAAGGGGTTCACGGATTTTCCCATGTTTCGAGGGGTGCATCGATTAGTTTGGGACCTCGCTTGGGACCGCAGATAGTACCAGAGCTGACCCAAAAAGTTGAGCACGTTTCTTCGGCACCTACTAGTCTTAGAGATACCTCTATGGTCTTAGTGAGTTCGCAGTACCCAGGTCCTAATCCTATAACCCATCAGTAAGAACAAATAATCCCCCTCATGCTCAGCACTCCGTTGTTTCGACCTACACGGCCACTAAGAATAACTCGGAGAGATAGTCACTTCTACCAACAATCAATACGAAACTAACGATTTTAAATTGGCTCACCACTTGACTAGCCTATTGGTCCCAAGCAAACGATTAACGTACCCCATTCTAGTCGAAATTCTAGTACTACGCAATGTTTGTTTTGATTCGCTATGAAAGTTTGACAGATAAAATGAGGGGTTATTGGTTTTTCCTATGTTTCGAGGGGTGAATCGATTAGCTTGGGACCAAAGAGAGTACCAGAGCTGAGCCAAAAATTTGAGCTCGTTTCTTCGGGACCTTCTGGTCTTAGAGTTACCTCTATGCTTCTACTCAGTTGTATTAGTAATGTATCATACAACTGAGTGGAAGCATAGAGGTAACTAAGACCAGAAGGTCCCGAAGAAACGAGCTCAACTTTTGGCTCAGCTCTGGTACTATCTTCGGTCCCAAGCTAATCGATTCACCCCTCGAAACATAAGAAAATCTACGAACCCCTCATTTTATCTGTCAAACTTTCATAGCGAATCAAAACAAACATAGTGTAGTACTAGACTTTCGACTAGAATGTGGTATGTTAATCGATTTGCTTGGGACCAATAGGCTAGTCAAGTAGTGAGCCAATTTAAAATCGTTAGTTTCGTATTGATTGTTGGTAGAAGTGACTATCTCCGAGTTATTCCCAGTGGTCGTGCACGGGAAAACTCTGCCATAATAAGGAATAAGACCTGGATTTTTAAGGAGCTACATTTACAAGACCTATTCTGCCTATAATCGTATACCAGTCCCATATGGATATGAAATCATGCAAAGATGGGACTGATTTGCGATTATGGGTAATATCGCAGCTCGTTGGCTTCGCAAAGGCTTTATAGATGGGGCTTTAACACGTGGGGTGTTCGAATGCGTTCAGTTACATGAATAATTACAACAGGTTCGCACCCTAGATAGCAACGAGCGTCGGTTTTCCCGGAAAAGCTGCTGGGAAAATCCAGTGTGGAGCCGCCCAATAGGTAAAACATTGCTAATATCGGTATTAGGATCGCTCCTCGTCTGTGGAAAAGCAACAGATGGTTTTGATAAGCTGTTTGAGGCAGTTATCGGTTAATAAACTGCGAGGAAATCGGTACAATTTATGGTGATTCACTCAATAATTTAGAGAGCATCAATGCTGCGGCGTAAATCACTCGATTTGCTGAAAT